GACTGAGGCTGGGGCTGAGGCTGAGGCTGGGGCTGGGGCTGAGACTGAGGCTGGGGCTAAGGCTGGGGCTGAGACTGAGGCTGGGGTGAGACTGAGGCTGAGGTTGAGGCTGGGGCTGGGGCTGAGACTGAGGCTGAGGTTGAGACTGAGGCTGGGGCTGAGACTGAGGCTGAGGCTGAGGCTGAGGCTGAGACTGGGACTGGGACTGAGGCTGGGGCTGGGGCTGGGGCTGGGGCTGGGGCTGAGACTGAGACTGAGGCTGAGGCTGAGGCTGAGGCTGGGGCTGGGGCTGAGACTGAGGCTGAGGCTGAGGCTGAGGCTGAGGCTGGGGCTGGGGCTGAGGCTGGGGCTGAGACTGAGGCTGAGGCTGAGGCTGAGGCTGAGGCTGGGGCTGGGGCTGGGGCTGAGGCTGAGGCTGAGGCTGAGGCTGGGGCTGGGGCTGGGGCTGAGGCTGAGACTGAGGCTGGGGCTGGGGCTGGGGCTGGGGCTGGGGCTGAGACTGAGGCTGAGGCTGGGGGTGAGACTGAGGCTGGGGCTGAGGCTGAGGCTGGGGCTGGGGCTGAGACTGAGGCTGGGGCTAAGGCTGGGGCTGAGACTGAGGCTGGGGTGAGACTGAGGCTGAGGTTGAGGCTGGGGCTGGGGCTGAGACTGAGGCTGAGGTTGAGGCTGAGGCTGGCTGGCTGGGGCTGAGGCTGAGGCTGAGACTGAGGCTGAGACTGAGGCTGGGGCTGAGGCTGAGGCTGAGCTGAGGCTGAGGCTGAGACTGAGGCTGAGGCTGAGGCTGAGGCTGAGGCTGAGGCTGAGGCTGGGGCTGGGGCTGAGACTGAGGCTGAGGCTGGGGCTGAGGCTGAGGCTGAGGCTGAGGCTGGGGCTGGGGCTGAGACTGAGGCTGGGGCTGGGGCTGAGGCTGGGGCTGAGGCTGGGGCTGAGGCTGGGGCTGAGGCTGGGGCTGAGGCTTAGGCTGGGGCTGAGGCTGGGGCTGAGGCTGGGGCTGAGGCTGAGGCTGAGACTGAGGCTGGGGCTGGGGCTGAGGCTGGGGCTGGGGCTGAGGCTGGGGTTGAGGCTGGGGCTGAGACTGAGGCTGGGGCTGGGGCTGAGGCTGGGGCTGGGGCTGAGGCTGGGGCTGAGGCTGAGGCTGAGACTGAGGCTGAGGCTGAGACTGAGGCTGGGGCTGAGGCTGAGGCTGGGGCTGGGGCTGGGGCTGGGGCTGAGGCTGAGACTGAGGCTGGGGCTGGGGCTGAGGCTGAGGCTGGGGCTAAGGCTGGGGTGAGACTGAGGCTGAGGTTGAGGCTGGGGCTGGGGCTGGGGCTGAGACTGAGGCTGAGGTTGAGACTGAGGCTGGGGCTGGGGCTGAGGCTGAGGCTGAGACTGAGGCTGGGGGTGAGACTGAGGCTGAGACTGAGGCTGGGGCTGAGACTGAGGCTGGGGCTGGGGCTGAGGCTGAGGCTGAGGCTGAGACTGAGGCTGGGGCTGGGGCTGAGGCTGGGGCTGGGGGTGAGACTGAGGCTGAGGCTGAGGCTGAGGCTGTGGCTGAGGCTGGGGCTGGGGCTGAGACTGAGGCTGAGGCTGGGGCTGAGGCTGAGGCTGAGGGTGAGACTGAGGCTGAGACTGAGGCTGAGACTGAGGCTGGGGCTGAGGCTGAGACTGAGGCTGGGGCTGGGGCTGAGGCTGAGGCTGAGACTGAGGCTGGGGCTGAGACTGAGGCTGAGGCTGAGGCTGAGGCTGAGGCTGAGGCTGGGGCTGGGGCTGAGACTGAGGCTGAGGCTGGGGCTGAGGCTGAGGCTGAGGCTGAGGCTGAGGCTGAGGCTGAGACTGAGACTGAGACTGAGGCTGAGACTGAGGCTGGGGCTGAGACTGAGGCTGGGGCTGGGGCTGAGGCTGGGGCTGAGGCTGGGGCTGAGGCTGGGGCTGAGGCTGGGGCTGAGGCTTAGGCTGGGGCTGAGGCTGGGGCTGAGGCTGGGGCTGAGGCTGAGGCTGAGACTGAGGCTGGGGCTGGGGCTGAGGCTGGGGCAGGGGCTGAGGCTGGGGTTGAGGCTGAGACTGAGGCTGGGGCTGGGGCTGAGGCTGGGGCTGGGGCTGAGGCTGGGGTTGAGGTTGAGGCTGGGGCTGAGGCTGAGGCTGAGACTGAGGCTGGGGCTGGGGCTGAGGCTGGGGCTGGGGCTGAGGCTGGGGCTGAGGCTGGGGCTGAGGCTGAGGCTGAGGCTGAGACTGAGGCTGGGGCTGGGGCTGAGGCTGGGGCTGGGGCTGAGGCTGGGGTTGAGGCTGGGGCTGAGGCTGAGACTGAGGCTGGGGCTGGAGCTGAGGCTGAGGCTGAGACTGAGGCTGGGGCTGAGGCTGGGGCTGGGGCTGAGGCTGGGGCTGAGGCTGGGGCTGAGGCTGAGGCTGAGGCTGAGACTGAGGCTGGGGCTGGGGCTGAGACTGGGGCTGAGGCTGGGGCTGAGGCTGGGGCTGAGGCTTAGGCTGGGGCTGAGGCTGAGGCTGAGGCTGGGGCTGAGACTGAGGCTGAGGCTGAGGCTGGGGCTGAGACTGAGGCTGGGGCTGGGGCTGAGACTGAGGCTGGGGCTAAGGCTGGGGCTGAGACTGAGGCTGGGGTGAGACTGAGGCTGAGGTTGAGGCTGGGGCTGGGGCTGAGACTGAGGCTGAGGCTGAGACTGAGGCTGGGGGTGAGACTGAGGCTGAGACTGAGGCTGGGGCTGAGACTGAGGCTGGGGGTGAGACTGAGGCTGAGACTGAGGCTGAGACTGAGGCTGGGGGTGAGACTGAGGCTGGGGCTGGGGCTGAGGCTGAGGCTGAGGCTGAGACTGAGGCTGGGGCTGAGGCTGGGGCTGGGGCTGAGGCTGGGGCTGGGGGTGAGACTGAGGCTGAGGCTGAGGCTGAGGCTGAGGCTGAGGCTGGGGCTGGGGCTGAGACTGAGGCTGAGGCTGGGGCTGGGGCTGAGACTGAGGCTGAGGCTGAGGCTGAGGCTGGGGCTGAGGCTGGGGCTGGGGCTGAGGCTGGGGCTGGGGGTGAGACTGAGGCTGAGGCTGAGGCTGAGGCTGAGGCTGGGGCTGGGGCTGAGACTGAGGCTGAGGCTGGGGCTGAGGCTGAGGCTGAGGCTGGGGGTGAGACTGAGGCTGAGACTGAGACTGAGGCTGGGGCTGAGGCTGAGGCTGAGACTGAGGCTGGGGCTGAGGCTGGGGCTGAGGCTGAGGCTGGGGCTGAGGCTGAGACTGAGGCTGAGGCTGAGGCTGAGGCTGAGGCTGAGGCTGGGCTGGGGCTGAGACTGAGGCTGAGGCTGGGGCTGAGGCTGAGGCTGAGGCTGAGGCTGAGGCTGAGGCTGGGGCTGGGGAGAGCTGAGGCTGGGGCTGGGCTGAGGCTGGGGCTGAGGCTGGGGCTGAGGCTGAGGCTGAGACTGAGGCTGGGGCTGGGGCTGAGGCTGGGGCTGGGGCTGAGGCTGGGGTTGAGGCTGGGGCTGAGACTGAGGCTGAGGCTGAGGCTGGGGCTGAGGCTGGGGCTGAGGCTGGGGCTGAGGCTTAGGCTGGGCCTGAGACTGGGGCTGAGGCTGGGGCTGAGGCTGAGGCTGAGACTGAGGCTGGGGCTGGGGCTGAGGCTGGGGCTGGGGCTGAGGCTGGGGTTGAGGCTGGGGCTGAGACTGAGGCTGGGGCTGGGGCTGAGGCTGGGGCTGGGGCTGAGGCTGGGGTTGAGGCTGAGGCTGGGGCTGAGGCTGAGGCTGAGACTGAGGCTGGGGCTGGGGCTGAGGCTGGGGCTGGGGCTGAGGCTGGGGCTGAGGCTGGGGCTGAGGCTGAGGCTGAGACTGAGGCTGGGGCTGGGGCTGAGGCTGGGGCTGGGGTTGAGGCTGGGGTTGAGGCTGGGGCTGAGGCTGAGACTGAGGCTGAGGCTGGGGCTGAGGCTGGGGCTGAGGCTGAGACTGAGGCTGGGGCTGAGGCTGGGGCTGAGGCTGGGGCTGAGGCTGAGGCTGAGGCTGGGGCTGGGGCTGAGGCTGGGGCTGGGGCTGAGGCTGGGGCTGGGGCTGGGGCTGGGGCTGGGGCTGAGGCTGAGGCTGAGGCTGAGACTGAGGCTGGGGCTGAGGCTGAGGCTGAGGCTGAGACTGAGGCTGGGGCTGGGGCTGAGACTGGGGCTGAGGCTGGGGCTGAGGCTGGGGCTGAGGCTTAGGCTGGGGCTGAGGCTGGGGCTGAGGCTGGGGCTGAGGCTGAGGCTGAGACTGAGGCTGGGGCTGGGGCTGAGGCTGGGGCTGGGGCTGAGGCTGGGGTTGAGGCTGGGGTTGAGGCTGGGGCTGAGACTGAGGCTGGGGCTGGGGCTGAGGCTGGGGCTGAGGCTGGGGCTGAGGCTGGGGCTGAGGCTTAGGCTGGGGCTGAGGCTGGGGCTGAGGCTGAGGCTGGGGCTGAGGCTGAGGCTGAGGCTGAGACTGAGGCTGGGGCTGGGGCTGAGACTGGGGCTGAGGCTGAGGCTGGGGCTGAGGCTGGGGCTGAGGCTGAGACTGAGGCTGGGGCTGAGGCTGGGGCTGAGGCTGGGGCTGAGGCTGAGGCTGAGGCTGGGGCTGAGGCTGAGGCTGGGGCTGAGGCTGAGGCTTAGGCTGGGGCTGAGGCTGGGGCTGAGGCTGGGGCTGAGGCTGAGGCTGAGACTGAGGCTGGGGCTGGGGCTGAGGCTGGGGCTGGGGCTGAGGCTGGGGTTGAGGCTGGGGTTGAGGCTGGGGCTGAGACTGAGGCTGGGGCTGGGGCTGAGGCTGGGGCTGAGGCTGAGGCTGAGACTGAGGCTGGGGCTGAGGCTGGGGCTGAGGCTGGGGCTGAGGCTGAGGCTGAGGCTGGGGCTGGGGCTGAGGCTGGGGCTGGGGCTGGGGCTGAGGCTGGGGCTGAGGCTGGGGCTGAGGATGGGGCTGAGGCTGAGGCAGAGGCTTAGGCTGAGGCTGAGGCTGAGGCTGAGGCTGGGGCTGAGACTGAGGCTGGGGCTGAGGCTGAGGCTGGGGCTGAGGCTGGGGCTGAGGCTGAGGCTGAGGCTGGGGCTGGGGCTGAGGCTGGGGCTGGGGCTGGGGCTGGGGCAGAGGCTTAGGCTGGGGCTGAGACTGAGACTGGGGCTGAGGCTGGGGCTGGGGCTGAGACTACCACACCAGCACATACTGGAACATGAGATAACCTGCTGTTCCGTGTATCACCAGAGAGGCCGCCAGAGTCTGCCGCCAGGGGAAGAGGAACTATATGAGGTACCTGGAAATCAGAAACATGGTTCTGGAAAAACAAAACCAGATCCTCATCAGACACTACTCCAATCTCTGAGGTTCACGGTCCCTGCACCAGCAACAATTACTATCAAGGTCGAAGATACATGTGACATCACAAACACCAGGAAATGTACCATCAAGGACACAGACGCTGCCCAATAAACATGTGACAACACAAACACCAGGAAACATGATTTAATCTTTATTTTATTATCTTCAAAGCTGAGGTATCTCATGTGTCTCCCCCTTTAATAATAAAAACAATAATGATAATGATGATGATGATGATGATGATTGTTCTGCCCTCGATACTTCTTATCACCAGAACAATAACCACTGGTGTCTCCTTTTCCAGGCTTTGTTCACTGCTGCTGTGAGAGAGCTTAAACTAAGAAATACAAAACACTGTCAAGGTGCTGCTGAACAAATATAGAACTAATGCTAATGTTAGTGGTAGCATGTTAACGGCGCTGGCATACGGCCTTATTATTTGGCGGTAATTACACACAACCCAAGAACAATCAAAGTCGGCGAAAATAACATGCAGGCCTACTCAAGTGCGAACACACAAACAATACAAACACTTGCTCTAAAACTAAACTGAACCATGTCTGTGGGAACCAAGCCCCGGGTATCAAAGATGGCGCCCTATTCAAAGGAATGGTTTGTGCTCAGTGGCGCAATGTGCCAGCATGGTGTCGAAAGATTAGCAGAACTCGCCTGGAACTCTCAAAGATCTATGGGAAACTCTCAAAGATCTATGGGAAACTCTCAAAGATCTATGGGAAACTCTCAAAGATCTATGGGAAACTCTCAAAGATCTATGGGAAACTCTCAAAGATCTATGGGAAACTCTCAAAGATCTATGGGAAACTCTCAAAGGTCTATGGGAAACTCTCAAAGGTCTATGGGAAACTCTCAAAGATCTATGGGAAACTCTCAAAGGTCTATGGGAAACTCTCAAAGATCTATGGGAAACTCTCAAAGATCTATGGGAAACTCTCAAAGATCTATGGGAAACTCTCAAAGATCTATGGGAAACTCTCAAAGATCTATGGGAAACTCTCAAAGGTCTATGGGAAACTCTCAAAGGTCTATGGGAAACTCTCAAAGATCTATGGGAAACTCTCAAAGGTCTATGGGAAACTCTCAAAGATCTATGGGAAACTCTCAAAGATCTATGGGAAACTCTCAAAGGTCTATGGGAAACTCTCAAAGGTCTATGGGAAACTCTCAAAGATCTATGGGAAACTCTCAAAGATCTATGGGAAACTCTCAAAGATCTATGGGAAACTCTCAAAGGTCTATGGGAAACTCTCAAAGGTCTATGGGAAACTCTCAAAGGTCTATGGGAAACTCTCAAAGGTCTATGGGAAACTCTCAAAGGTCTATGGGAAACTCTCAAAGATCTATGGGAAACTCTCAAAGGTCTATGGGAAACTCTCAAAGATCTATGGGAAACTCTCAAAGTCTATGGGAAACTCTCAAAAGAATCTATGGGAAACTCTCAAAGATCTATGGGAAACTCTCAAAGTCTATGGGAAACTCTCAAAGGTCTATGGGAAACTCTCAAAGGTCTATGGGAAACTCTCAAAGGTCTATGGGAAACTCTCAAAGGTCTATGGGAAACTCTCAAAGGTCTATGGGAAACTCTCAAAGATCTATGGGAAACTCTCAAAGATCTATGGGAAACTCTCAAAGATCTATGGGAAACTCTCAAAGGTCTATGGGAAACTCTCAAAGATCTATGGGAAACTCTCAAAGGTCTATGGGAAACTCTCAAAGATCTATGGGAAACTCTCAAAGATCTATGGGAAACTCTCAAAGATCTATGGGAAACTCTCAAAGGTCTATGGGAAACTCTCAAAGATCTATGGGAAACTCTCAAAGATCTATGGGAAACTCTCAAAGATCTATGGGAAACTCTCAAAGATCTATGGGAAACTCTCAAAGATCTATGGGAAACTCTCCTGTATTTGGGCATCGTCTGGTCCTCCCGGTTCTGTGCAGTGGATGATCTCCCATGATGCTTTGCGCCAAACACGCGTGTGTGGCTTTCATGCACGTGCACAGAGGGGCTCGGCACTAGATCATAAACGGAATTGGGACGAAACCGGAAGTAACACTCCTACTTTCGAATTAGTTTTAAACTAATGAGTCCTTAAATGGTGACTGGTTAAGTTTTAGGTGATCTGAGTAAGATGGTTAAGGTTAGGGTTAAGGTGGTCTGAGTAAGATGGTTAAGGTTAGGGTTAAGGTGGTCTGAGTAAGATGGTTAAGGTTAGGGTTAAGGTGGTCTGAGTAAGATGGTTAAGGTTAGGGTTAAGGTGGTCTGAGTAAGATGGTTAAGGTTAAGGTTAAGATGGTCTGAGTAAGATGGTTAAGGTTAGGGTTAAGGTGGTCTGAGTAAGATGGTTAAGGTTAGGGTTAAGGTGGTCTGAGTAAGATGGTTAAGGTTAGGGTTAAGGTGGTCTGAGTAAGATGGTTATGGTTAGGGTTAAGGTGGTCTGAGTAAGATGGTTAAGGTTAGGGTTAAGGTGGGTCTGAGTAAGATGGTTAAGGTTAGGGTTAAGGTGGTCTGAGTAAGATGGTTAAGGTTAGGGTTAAGGTGGTCTGAGTAAGATGGTTAAGGTTAGGGTTAAGGTGGGTCTGAGTAAGATGGTTAAGGTTAGGGTTAAGGTGGTCTGAGTAAGATGGTTAAGGTTAGGGTTAAGGTGGTCTGAGTAAGATGGTTAAGGTTAGGGTTAAGGTGGTCTGAGTAAGATGGTTAAGGTTAGGGTTAAGGTGGTCTGAGTAAGATGGTTAAGGTTAGGGTTAAGGTGGTCTGAGTAAGATGGTTAAGGTTAGGGTTAAGGTGGTCTGAGTAAGATGGTTAAGGTTAGGGTTAAGGTGGTCTGAGTAAGATGGTTAAGGTTAGGGTTAAGGTGGGTCTGAGTAAGATGGTTAAGGTTAGGGTTAAGGTGGTCTGAGTAAGATGGTTAAGGTTAGGGTTAAGGTGGTCTGAGTAAGATGGTTAAGGTTAGGGTTAAGGTGGTCTGAGTAAGATGGTTAAGGTTAGGGTTAAGGTGGTCTGAGTAAGATGGTTAAGGTTAGGGTTAAGGTGGTCTGAGTAAGATGGTTAAAGTTAGGGTTAAGGTGGTCTGAGTAAGATGGTTAAGGTTAGGGTTAAGGTGGTCTGAGTAAGTTGGTTAAGGTTAGGGTTAAGGTGGTCTGAGTAAGATGGTTAAGGTTAGGGTTAAGGTGGTCTGAGTAAGATGGTTAAGGTTAGGGTTAAGGTGGTCTGAGTAAGATGGTTAAGGTTAGGGTTAAGGTGGTCTGAGTAAGATGGTTAAGGTTAGGGTTAAGGTGGTCTGAGTAAGATGGTTAAGGTTAGGGTTAAGGTGGGTCTGAGTAAGATGGTTAAGGTTAGGGTTAAGATGGTCTGAGTAAGATGGTTAAGGTTAGGCTTACATGGAATGTACACAGTAGGCGTAAACAGCGCGTACGCGGTTACTGCCCGCTCTCTGCGCGTTACATTTTTTTGGAGTATCTACACAGGCCGTGTGCGCAGGTCTTTCTGATGCTGTCCCTGTGTAGTCTGTGGAGCAGTGTAGAGGACAGTACAGAGACTGATGCTGTCCCTGTCTGGGGCTGGTGGCTTGAGAGACTGAGGCTGGGCTGGAGGCTGAGGCTGGGGCTGGGGCTGAGATTGAGGCTGGGGCTATGGTGGGGCTGAGACTGACGGCTGGGGGTGAGACTGAGGACTGAGGTGAGGCTGGGGCTGGGGTATGAGACTGAGGCTGTGGTTGAGACTGAGGCTGGGCTGAGGGCTGAGGCTGAGATGAGGTGGGGTGAGACTGGAGGCTAGAGAGAGCTGAGACTGAGGCTGGGGTGAGGCTGGAGGCTGTTTGAGAATGAGCTGAGCTGAGACTGAGGCTGAGGCTTGAGGCTGAGGTGAGGCTGAGGATGAGGCTGGGGCTGGGGCTGAGACTGAGGCTGAGGTGGGGTGAGGTCTGAGGCTGAGGCTGAGGTGCCCTGGGGGGCTGGGGGCTGAGACTGAGGCGGGGGCTGGGGGCTGTGGCTGGGGCTGAGGCTGGGGCGGGCTGGGGCTGAGGCTGGGGCTGAGCTTAGGCTGGGCTGAGGCTGGAGGCTGAGGCTGGGGTGAGGATGAGGCTTGAGGGACTGAGGCTGGGGCTGTGGATGAGGCTGGGGGCTGGGCTGGGCTGGGGTTGAGGGGCTGGGGCTGTGACTGAGGCTGGGGCTGGGGTGAGGCTGGGGCTGGTGCTGGGCTGGGGGCGAGGCTGAGGCTGAGATGAGGCTCTGAGGCTTGGACTGAGGCTGGGGCTGAGGCTGAGGCTGGGGCCTGGGGCTGGGGCTGGGGGCTGAGGCTCGTGGTGACTGAGGCTGTGGGCTGGGGCTGAGGACTGAGGCTGGGCTTAGGCTGGGGTGAGACTGAGGTGAGGTTGAGGTGGGCTGGGTCTGGGGCTAGAATGGGCTGGAGGTTGGAAGTACTCGAGGGCTGGGGATGGGCTGAGGCTGAGTGTGAGCACTGAGGCTGGCGGTGTGAGATGAGGCTGAGACTGATGGCTGGTGGCTGAGACTGAGGCTGGGGACTGGGCTGAGGCTGAGGCTGAGGCTGAGACTGTGGACTGTGGGCTGGGGCTGTGGACTGGGGCTGGGGGGTGACTGAGGCTGAGGGCTGAGGTGGAGGCTTTGGTGAGGCTGGGCTGGGGCTGAGATGTGGCTGAGGTGGGGCTGAGGCTGGGCTGAGGCTGGGGGGGTTGTGACTGAGGCTGAGGACTGAGGCTGGACTGAGGCTGTGGGCTGAGGCTGAGTGAGGACACTGAGGCTGGGGCTGGGGCTGAGGTGGGTTGAGACTGGAGGCTGGGGCGACTGAGGATGAGGCTGAGGCTGAGGT